TATATATATTTTAAACCAGCTTTTTAAAGAAATAAAGAAATTATATTTTAGATTTTAAGCTAGTGCTATTGCACATAATTTAAAATATGTAACTTTTAGCACGTGATTGTTGTGATAAAGTAAAATTTATTGAATTGTATCAATTTATTACGGAATTATTGCGATTTTTTTTTAATCATTTCAGTTTTATTTCAATAATTTCGTTCATATAATCTATATGTCAAGGTAAATTGTCCAGATCCTACAATATATAAAACACAATGTAGTTTTATTAAAAAGGAAATGACTAACTGAAATAGCTCTAAGTAACGTACCTTTAAACCAACATTTTATTACTCTCTCATCTTTTACTAAGAGTCATTGAAACTTCCAAGTAATGCACTACTCATATAAAAATAATAATAATAATTTTGAAATTCTAACATGAACATTTCTTATTTTACTAATCTAACTGTTATAAAAATTACCAGAAACAGCATAATAGTTTTTTGTGCTTAAGTTTATTCAAATAGTTTTGTATGACGATAATAATAATTAGAAAATATAAGTGTTACATTAAAAGTGTTATGGGGCATTGTTTTCGAAGAGCAGAGAAAAAATTGATAGTTCTTAAATTTCTTCAATTCACATACATTTTTACCTACATATTCTTAATAGTATCCCATACTTAATAATTGAATCCTATCCGTCGAGCATTGATACTATGTCTTTTAACACGTCACTTATTTCATACACCCATTTACATATGATTAAAAATAATTATAGACTATCATTGACAAAAGCCAGAATTAGTTTTAAAATATTTATAATATTTTTTGGGTCTTTAAGTCGACATTATTAATCCTATTATTATTGTGGCATCAAGTCACAAGTTTAATTTAACTTTGGTATAATTTAGTTAATTCCTGATACGAATCCTTATTTACTGATCTAATTCTTCTCGCCCCTTAATCTGTAGCGCAATGGGGACTTTCTCCCCCTGACTTTGCGTTCACATTCCTTTTGCCCTACCCTTTCTTTCTTAGAAAGACACCTGTTTGCCGGTATCTTTGATGTCAGCGTGCCTTACAATATCGGAGATGTGTTTCTTAACCGTAACGCTGGTAAAATAATTGTGATAACATCTCAACTTGTAAAATTGAGATAATTTAACTTTCATTTTCAAATTAAGTAATGCTACTTCTACTTTAAGCGTTGATTTTATATAAATATAGGGAGCGAATGAGCACGTGAAGATTCAAGATTGTCCGTTGCCCTGTACTACACGCCTCTCCCTGGTGTGATGTACCCTTTTCCTTCCCCCCTCCTCTTCTTGAGGGACGGAATTTTATTTTCGATGGCATCCAGATCGTCACCATTTTTGACTCCCCAGTCTACATCCCATAATATGTAGCGCCTTTCGACAGCTTCATTGAATAGTTTTTCCACAATGTTTCCTGCAATTCAAAATTTGTCTACATGATGTGTTTTCTTTCCACATCACTTCGCAATGGATGGCATCCCAAACCTGCGCAATTTCGTCGACCAAAGTGATATTGAAAGCAAAAAGGATTCCCTCCGTGACTGAGGTAAGCTGAGCAGAAAGAGGGACTCCTGTTGAGGCTGTCCTGTTGAGTTCAGCTTGTTATACTTTCAGGTGTTTTTTTTTTTGTTTATGATTAAAGAACAATAATTAACGTCCTCCAGTTCCACTGCTCGCATATCAACCTAGTGTGTTTGTGACCCACCATGTCTGATCTTTTGAAGAAGAAAAATAAACTCATCGATTTTCTAAGAGTAACAATAAGTTTTTTGTGTGTATGTTTTCTTTTCTCCTGAGACCAAGGATTTTTTAGGAGACTACTTTCTTTAGGATTCCTTTTTTTAAGAAATGGTTACTTCATTGTTATGCTCTGCAACAGGTTTGTCTACTTAAATCACCGTATTATTCTCAAAATTTAAAATGTACTTTTGTTTACTAGGGTTTTATTGCGACTCCCTATGTTCGCCATTATATTTTTTTGTAATCACGTGCCATTAATTAACGTTTGCTTGTTGTCAGTTGATTCATTACTTAAAAATTAATTTAATGTTTAGCCTTTTTCTCATTGATTTTTTTATAAATTTTTAATAGCTAGCAGTTACCGGAACAATTATAGTCCTTATTGTTATTATTGAAGAGATCAGTTCCAAAAATTTAACTTATTTTTAATGAGAATAATGTTAATTTGCACCAAATATTGCGATTACACTGAACATTTCTTAATATTTCTGAATTCAAATTGTTTGGAATGAGTTTATTTTATAATCTGCACAAAACAGCCAACCTATTTTTTTTGGTTTAAGTTTTTTAATGTTCAACTCCGTAACCTAATTTTTGAACCAAACCCTGAGGACAAGGGAATTCTAAGAAGAAGCACTGGGACAAACTAGTTTTCGTGGAAGACTTTTGGATAGAACTAACTTATGATCGTATTCCATAGAGAGGAAAACAACAAACGGCAGGGGGGTTCAAACCTATGATTCGTCTACCACTGTGACTATTTTACGTCAGCACTGCGATCGGTATGAGACAGGAACATAATTCAAATCAATCAGTCTTCTCTGGAATTTGAACCTGGGTGATTTCATTGGGAGACGAGCTCTCTGTTTATTGATGGTTCATGAAACTGTTTTACAACATGAGAAATTACATTAGAAGACGCAAAACAAATTATGAATTTTTTAAATCTCCCCGTAACCAGAAATGCGTCGAAAACAATAAACTCTCTCTCAACTCAGTGGCGCGACAGCCCATAGAGGGCCAAGGCCTACTGTGCCCATCTCAGTTTTCTTGACCTTGGGCTCTGGGATGCAGGAGCAGATGTTCTGGTTTGGTGGTCAGCTGAACGCGAAACCCCCAGTGTTTAGTTCCCAAGTATGCTTAGTACTCATTTATCGACCCACTGAAGGGATGAAAGGCTGACTCAACCTTACCCGACCCAAGGATCGAACCCAGGACGTGTGGCACGGGAGCGCGAAGCGCTAACACTCAGCCACGGTCCGAAAACAATATGATAGGGTAATAAACCTATGAAAATTTAACATTGAAAAATTCTAATAAGAGAGTTTAAATTTTTTATTAAATATAAAATATTAGTCAAACCCTGTACAAAACTTACCTTACAATGAGAAATACGGGAACAATTAGGAATAATACACATGCGCCATACATAATCCATATTTTCAAGTCTGTAAAGAATAATACGAATTACAAAATAAAGAAAAAATCCTTCCATTATCAAACTCTATCGCTTTTTTGTGCTAATTATAAATTAAAAAATGATGTTTATTTCACTAAATAATTTTTAATTACTAACCAATGCTTTAATAAATAATGTTTTGAAAATAATGCATATTTTTCATTTTCTAAGATTAAAAATTGGCTAACCTGGAGTTTTATCGCAATTTTCGCCATCGAAACCACACATTGGTTCACTCTTAGGAGGCAATCCTGAAATCCAATTGATTTCCTTCTCTAATCTTAGAGACTGTAAGGAAAGAAAATTACCAATTGTAACCTCAATTTTAAAGATGAAATCGTCTCTTAGTAAGATATGTTATTTAAACTCACGGGCAAATCATTTGAACCTTCATGATTGAACCTTGCTACTGGCTGCATTCTTAATCGGGTGGAATTTTCATTTTCCACCAATGCCATGACAGAGTAATTACCTTCAGCATCTCCTTGATCATCAATCATAACACTGAATCCCAATATACCTGTAAGATATAAAATTTTAAAAACTATAAAATTTGGCAAGAGGGATTTATGTATTTTAATTTAAACAAACTATGTGCTTTAATGTATTACGTCAAAAAATATATAAAAACATTGATACCATGCGTAATTATATTTACTTCAACATTTGTCAGTTTTGAAATAAAATTAATTGCTCATTATTTCCCTACAAGCATTACTTAATAATACAAACATTTGAAAACATCAAATGAAGTTATGCTTGGCGTAAGTTACAGTGCATCGGAAGCACTGTTAAAAATTTCTCGAAAAAAATGGTTAAATTACAATTAATTTAATTGTTATTTTACCATATTCAAACAAAAAAGTCAAATAACCATAAATAAAAGATGGTATTCAAATTGTTATTGTGAGAAAAACCGTTTACTAACTACTTTCACATAATATGGTTAAACAACCAGAATTTTATCACACCCACTAGGGCCACCTATAGTTCCTTGCAGCTGCGTGCTTATTATAGCCGAGAGGACTAATATGTCATATTCATGACCTGAAGAACGGGGGTTCGAGTCCTAGCATCGACACCAAAATATTTCTTTTCCATTCAACACATGAAGAATTTGCAAGAATTGGAAGCTCTCATGAACTTCCAATTTGTGTCCTTGCACTATTAGAATACATTTTTCTCATCCACACATGGCAGCTCCATAACTCCAATGACCATTACCTAGCGAAAAGCCTAGCACCAATTTCCTGTTAAATTTCTTTTTTACGCATTTGTAACCATGCTAATTTTTAAATAGTTAAAAAACTAGTTAATTCAAAAGTTGCTAATTTTAATAGTTAAAATAGTTAATTATAGTTAAAATAGTTAATTATAGTTAAAATAGTTAGTTATAGTTAATTACGGTTAAAATAGTTAATTATAGCTAAAATTGCTTCTGAAATGAAGGGACTGAAAATATCACAACATGTTTAATTGAGAAGAGAGAAAAATTGAAACGTGAACATTAGAAAAGTTTTATCAGGCATTCAAAATGGGTTTTGATACTATCGCATCTTTCGTGCGAGTGAATTGACAGATTCCAACGGCGTTTTTGTTAATTTCTTGCCTAAATATTAATTTGCAGCCATGAAAATGCTTGCGATTTTAACTTCAATTTTGACAAATCATCTAAAACTAACTTAAGGGTGGACATTTTTGAACACTGTTTACACGCTCTTATTACAGTGATTTAATTCTCTACTTTCAGACAAGGATTAGACACTTACTTTCATAGTTTCTAGATCTGATGTACTTAAATACTCCGTCGCCATCCCATGCAGATATATTGTTAGAGAGGGCTTGCGTGAGAGCGCTTGCATAAATCATCACAGCGTCATAGGCTAAACCAGCGTAGATTGGAACCTGAAAATATTTCATTACACGATCTAATCAATAAATTAAAAGAGGCATCTCTATTGCTATTCAATTGTTATTAATGCTGAAATTGCAATTGTCATCTTTAACTGTGCAATTCTGTTTGATGGACATCTTTTCAGTTCAATCATTTCTCGAGCATTAACATTTCAAAAAGAACAAGTTTCAAGGTGATTACGCAATTTGCAATGGATAATTAGAAAAAAATCATGTCGAATTATTTTCAACAACAAAAAAAATATAAAAAACAACCACCGTTATTTAGCCATAGTCTTTAACTAAATCTCGGTAGCAGAAATCTCTTAGCACTTCAATCTCTGCAGATTATTAACGCATTTGCAGATTATTTTTCATCTTTGTTTATTTCGTTTTATTTTGAAGTAATAAACAAGCAAATAAGAAAAAAAATGCTGAAAATCCATTTTAAAATATTGTTAAATTTGTTTCGAATAAAAAATCGGAATAAAATCTCAAAGCACAAAAAAATTGTTCTGTTAATTTTTTTTTATTTATTTCTGTTACTTAAGGCCAGGCTAAACTGTGCCGGAATTTATTTCAGTTTTTAGCATCCTTGCCTACAAGTAAACTTAAATTTAAGCAACATAAAGTTTTGATTTTTTATACTTACCTTATATTTGCACATTTTGTTACATTAAAGATTTAGCTGAATTCTTACGATAATAATCTCTGTGTGACTACGCTGAAATAGCACATTAATTTGGATTTATGAAGATCGTGCTGCAGATTCCCTCCGGAAGATCTGATACTAAGTTCTTAATTAAAAATTATAAAGTCGAAAGTATCAAAACTTATTCAAATTTCTTTTGTTTACCTAGTCAAATAGAGTTTCGAGTGTTGTGTTCAAACATTTGTTGTATTGATTTCTGGAAACCTAATATAAAAAGCAGAAAAATTTGGATTTATGAAGATCATGCTGCAGATTCGTTCCGTGAATTCTGCTACTGCTTTCTTCATTAAAAATTTTAATGCCCAAAGTATCAAAATTTATTCAAATTGTACTTTTTTAAATCTATCCAAATAGATTTTAGAGTGCAGTCAAAGTTTAGTATTAATTTCTGGAAGCTTAATATTAGGTATGTGTAAAGATCTGTGGTTAAAAACTTAAATTAGATACGACTTCTTTGAAATGGATTATTTGAAGTCAAAATACCTATTGTATTTTGGAAACTTTTTTATAAGACGGGACGAAATTTTTTTTTTTGTTTGTTCCAAACATGGCATTAATTCAATTTAAATTGTTCATTCAATGATTTTTTCTTATACTTTTTTTTCCATTGGCATTGATAATATTCCAAAATTATTGATAATAAATAAATAAATTTTACTTTCAATTTAAATGATGATTCGTTTTTATTGGTTTTTCAGATAAGCCAAAAATTAATTCGGCACAAAAGTAATAACGGAAATACTTTATATCTGACTACGTCTATAACCACACTCTAGGCGACAGTTTCTGGAAAATATTTCTTCATTGGCAAATAAAAGTGAAAATCATTTTAAAAAACATAGTTGATAAAACATGATTGTTATGTTTGTTAAATACAAAAAAAAAATCGCCTCAAATCAAAAAGGAACTTCAGTGAAATCCATCACATTTTTGCTGCTCAGACAACACTGCGTATGAAAGGGTTAAAAAAACTTTTCAACAATGTGCTAAAAAAAAGATACACATCATTAAATATTTCAAATATTGATCATTCTTTCCCTTCACATTGAAAAGTTAAGAAGAATCTTCATGGTGTTTACTTAACTTTTCACTTGTGCTGAATTTTTTGAGGTGTTAAACTTGAGTAGGTATTTTGCTAGTATCGTCTGAAAGAATTCTTGCAAAAAGTAAAGCCATGGTAAAATTTCAAGAAAAATGAAAAATAAACTTTTTTTTCCTATTTTGTTCAATGTTAGAACAGAAAAGAAATTCATAGTCTAGTTTACGATCGGTGATAATTTTTTTTTAGCTAGACACGTGCGTTTGAAAAATGTCACAGGACAAAATATTTGTTTAAGCAAGTTGATAAACTTTGAAATGCATGTTTGAAGCAAACGTATATTAAAATGCTTGTTTAAGCAAATTGATATACCTTGAAATGCAAGTTTGAAGAATGAACGTACAGAGTGCAAAAAAATGGATCGCGTAGAATAACTTTTGATTTATTGATCGGATCTTCACGTTTTAGAACTAAATTTTAATATTTCGAGGAGGTGACTTCAAATGTGCTAATTAATTAGGCCAGACGATATTTTAAGTTATCAAATCAGACACAAAAACGTACTTTCTCCGAATAAACACATATTTTTTCAACGGATTCAGATTTCTAACCCCCAAACTATAGGAGGCAGCCGCAATCTAGAAAATATCGCCCTCATAGTTTGGTCAGGAGAGCGAATCAAAATTCGAACCTCTTCATGTTAATTTTACTTTTTGCATATTTCGCCATATCTCGAGATTTTTTTAAGCTAATTGAAAAAATTTTGCACACGATTATTAAGTTCTTTTATCTAAAGACAATTCCTTGCAAAAAATACATTTTATTTAACATTTGTCTCTTTTTATTTTATTTCATAATAGTCAAAAAGAGTTTGGACTGTAAAGTACGCAATTTCTTACGTCGCTTTAAAGTATGCATTTTTACGTGGCAAATTATATAATTTGAGTGAAATTGGTTGAATAGTTCCTGAGAAATCGCATTTTAAATATTCGACTTCCTTAAATTCGATAAATGTTCCGCAGGGAAACATCTTTGCACAAACAAATTTTACAATTTTGTGTGAAAATGTTTCAATTCTCTCAGAAAAATTTCGAGATGTGACGAAATACACAAAAGGTAAAATTAACATTAACATTTAGGATACGATCATTAACTCAAAAGCAATTCAGGATAGTTAATTTTTTTTAACGCACAATCAATGTGCGTGTTTTAAGAAAATCAACACATTTTGAAGTGAGCATTTGTGAAAAAATAAACGTAGATCCAAATGGGCTTTTTTAAAAATGGACAAAGCACAAAATGCGTATTTTCAATTTTTAACAATAAACCCAAATGTTTAAAATTTTTGATAAAAATCGAAATCATTATAGAAAATCATTCATTCGCAAAATCATTTTAAAAATTCGTTTACTTTTCTTTCAGAAACAACGAATAATCATTATTTACAAGTTGTTACAATAAGAAATACACTAGTCAAAATACAATACAATAGTTAAAATACGATAGTCAAAATATTAGTTTAAAATAGCGAAAGAAAATGCAATGCCTATTCTTCAATAGAAATATTCATTTTTTATTATACGTATTTTAAAGTTAGATGCATTTTTTAACGCCTATTTCCATTTTGTTCATTTTCTGAAACACTCATTTTGAGTCAAATTAAATTTTTCATGCTCTTTCACAAGCAATTCCAAAAATAAAAAATCATGCAAAGTGTATGAAAATATGCGAAAAGAACAGAAATTTATGAACTTACTTCTACTTTAATGAATGGATGGAAAGGAATCTTGAAAGGATCAGAACCGGAATAATTGAGTACCAACTCTTGAAAGAAAGCATAATTGGGATTGATTGGTGACCCCGGGCTTAAGAGCAACACAGACCTAAATGGAATGGGATCTGCTGCCATCCAAGAAGCTTCGAAATCTATTTCATCCACAAAGAAAACAGAAAAAAACAAGCATTGCATTAATTCTCAAAACAACTGTTCTTTTCTATCTTCAAATTGCACAATGCGTTATTGATATAAATATTTAGTTCAGTTGAGTTAATATATATATATATATATATAAATATAGAAAAAAAGTATACAATAAAAATATAGAACTTGCCAGAACTTTATAGAAGTCCAGTAGGGAAATGCCTTTCGAGGCAATGTAAAGAGTAGCTTTAAGCTATAGAATAGCTGCGCAATCATTAAAGATTCGGTTGAATTACTTAGAACACAATACGGTGCCAGTCTATATTTCCAATCCATTTATTAAGGTTAATTTATTAAATCAAATGTTTATAGAGTATATTTTTCCTTTANGGGACGAAATTTTTTTTTTGTTTGTTCCAAACATGGCATTAATTCAATTTAAATTGTTCATTCAATGATTTTTTCTTATACTTTTTTTTCCATTGGCATTGATAATATTCCAAAATTATTGATAATAAATAAATAAATTTTACTTTCAATTTAAATGATGATTCGTTTTTATTGGTTTTTTAGATAAGCCAAAGATTAATTCGGCACAAAAGTAATAACGGAAATACTTTATATCTGACTACGTCTATAAACACACTCTAGGCGACAATTTCTGAAAAAATATTTCTTCATTGGCAAATAAGAGTGAAAATCATTTTAAAAAACATAGTTGATAAAACATGATTGTTATGTTTGTTAAATACAAAAAAAAATCGCCTCAAATCAAAAAGGAACTGCAGTGAAATCCATCACATTTTTGCTTCTCAGACAACACTGCGTATGAAAGGGTTAAAAAAACTTTTCAACAATGTGTTAAAAAAAAAGATACACATAATTTAATATTTCAAATATTGATCATTCTTTCCTTTCACATTGAAAAGTTAAAAAGAATCTTCATGGTGTTTACTTAACTTTTCACTTGTGCTGAATCTTTCGAGATTTTAAACCTGATAAGGTATTTTGCTAGTATCGTCTGAAAGAATCCTCGCAAAAAGTAAAGTGAAAATTTCAAGAAAAATGAAAAAGAAGAACCTTGTTCCTATTTTATTCAATGTTAGAACAGAAAAGAAATTCATAGTCTAGTTTACGATCGGTGATCATTTTTTTTTTAGTTCGACACGTGCGCTTGAAAAATGTCACAGGACAAAATACTTGTTTAAGCACGTTGATACACCTCGAAATGCTAATTTGAAATAAAAGTATATTAAAATACTTGTTTAAGCAAATATATACAGTTAGTCAATAAAGTCTGCGTACGGACTGATTATTAAATTAAAAAATCCCTTTAAACATCAAAGAAACATTTTAATCTGTATGATTTTTTTTCCTCTAATAGCTCCAATTGTAAGCTACAATAAAGAGCAAAAATAAAAGTGCAATATTTTAAAGACTTTTTCAAAAATAAATTTTTACGAAAAAAACACAGCAATACACTCCAATAAAGTCTGCGTACACTTAAGAAAAAAATGAAAAATAAAAGTTTTTAGCGTTATTTTAATATTTCGTTGTGTACCCTTTATTTTTTAAAACAGCTTGCAGACGTCTAGGCATTGACTGGACTAGTTTCTGTGTATCATCTGACGTAAATTTTGCCCATTCCTCCTGCAATTTGCATATTAACTCATTTCGGGAAGTAATATTGTGTTTTCGAATTCGTTTGTCCAATTTTGCCCTCAAATGTTCAATCGGGTTAAGGTCTAGTGACTGTGGAGGAGTTGGTAACTGTCGCGGAGTGTGATAGAGAAGATATTCCTTCACAATTTTAGCAGTATGTTTGGGGTCCGTTGTTTTGTTGGAAAATAAAGGTGTTAGAAAGGTTTAAATTTCGAGCACTTTCTGATAGATTTTTCTTCAAAATATCCAAATACCTGTCCATGACTTTATCAATAATATGCAAATTTCCAACTCCATTCGAAGACATACACCCCCATATCATCACTCCACCAGCTCCATGTTTAACAGTTGGATTTAAATTTCTCAGATGCAGTTCTGTTCCTAGTTTTCTCCGTACAATAGGGTGGCCATTGATTTTAAACATTGTAAATTTACTTCCATTTGATTAAATTACACTGTTCCAATAATCAGCAGAGGAGTTCAAATAAGTTTTTGCAAAATCAATTCTTCTCATTTGATTCGTCTTAGAAATGTATGGCTTAGACCTAGATTTGTGTCCGTGATAATTTGCCTTTCGCAGTACTTTTCTTACAGTTTCAGGAGAAATTTCCTTATTGCCTGTTAAAAAAATATCTTTTGTTATACTTACAGCAGAAAGTTTAGGATTTTGTTTAATTCGCAAAAGAATTTTTCTTTCTTCTCTCTGAGTAAGCTTCTTAGGTCTTTCAAATCTTGGTTTTACAGCAAGATTTCCAGTATCAAGGTAGTTCTGAGTAACTCTTTGCACACTAGAATGAGGCCTCCCAACTATTTAGCGAAGAGTTGTACCTTCATCTCTCAATTTTATAATTAACTGTCTTGTAGCTAAAGGAATTTCCTTATTAAGTGACATTTTCGTCAAAGAAAATAGCACTAGCAACTTCCCATTAACTCGAAAATAGATTTGAAGCTCAATGACCTTGAAAGTGCAATCTGATTTGCATTCTCAAGTTTGAAGTTTAAAATTAAGATAAGAAATTCCCCGCCCCTTCTGGCGTGTACGCAAACTTTATAGGCCTTGATTTTTGTTATAGTCGTTTTATTTCATTATAGTCGAAAAGAGTTTGGATTGTAAAATATGCAATTCCTTACGTCGCTTTAAAGTATGCATTTTTGCGTGGCAAATTATATAATTTGAGTGAAGTTGGTTGAATAGTTCCTGAGAAATCGCATTTTAAATATTCGACTTCTTTAAATTCGATAAATGTTCCGCAGGGAAACATCTTTGCACAAACGAATTTTACAATTTTGTGTGAAAATGTTTCAATTCTCTCAGAAAAATTTCGAGATGTGACGAAATACACAAAAAGTAAAATTAACATTAACATTTAAGATCCGATCATTAGATAAAAAGCAATTCAGGACAGTTGATTTTTTAACGCACAATGAATATGCGGGTTTTAAGAAAATTAACACATTTTGAAGAGCGCGTTTGTAAAAAAATAAATGTAAATCAAAATAGGCGTTTTTAAAAATGGACAAAGCACAAAATGCGTATTTTCAATATTTAACAATAAACCCAAATGCTTAACATTTCTGATAAAAATCGAAATCATTATAGAAACTTATTCATTCACAAAATCATTTTAAAAATTCGTTTACTTTCCTTTCAGAAACAGCGAATAATCATTATTTACAAGTTGTTACAAGAATAAATACACTAGTCCAAAAACAATACAATAGTCAAAATATCAGTTTGAAATAGTGAAATAAAATGCTATGAGCCTTTTCTTCAGTAGAAATATTTAATTTTTCAGATACGTATTTTGAATTAGATGTATTTTTTAAACGCCTATTTCCCTTTTGTCCATTTTCTGAAACACGCATTTTGAGTTAAAATCATTTTTTCAAGTGCTTTCACAAGCTATTCAAAAAAAATCATACAAAGCAAATGAAAATATTCGAAAAGGAACAAAAATTTTTGGACTTACTTCTACTTTAATGAATGGATGGAAAGGAATCTTGAAAGGATCAGAACCGGAATAATTGAGTACCAACTCTTGAAAGAAAGCATAATTGGGATTGATTGGTGACCCCGGGCTTAAGAGCAACACAGACCTAAATGGAATGGGATCTGCTGCCATCCAAGAAGCTTCGAAATCTATTTCATCCACAAAGAAAACAAAACAAAAAAAATAACTGTTCTATTCTATCTTCTAATTGTACAATGCGTCCTTGATATAAATATTTAGTTCAGTTGAGTTAATATATATATATATATATATAAATATAGAAAAAAAGTATACAATAAAAATATAGAACTTGCCAGAACTTTATAGAAGTCCAGTAGGGAAATGCCTTTCGAGGCAATGTAAAGAGTAGCTTTAAGCTATAGAATAGCTGCGCAATCATTAAAGATTCGGTTGAATTACTTAGAACACAATACGGTGCCAGTCTATATTTCCAATCCATTTATTAAGGTTAATTTATTAAATCAAATGTTTATAGAGTATATTTTTCCTTTATCTTTTTACACATACTCGAACCCATATCTTTGTTTGTTACTCAATACTACAACTTTCCAAATTCATCCAAAAAAATTTGTTTTCCATCTGGTGATTCCATGCTCTTGCACTTCGATTTTCAAGATTACGGTATGTAGTCTTCGTCTGACCAGCTGTTGATTTCTTTTGTTTTTCTTGGGGGAATCGAAGGTTTGGTTGTTTACGGTTCAGTTTCAATGCTCGATGAAACTTAATAGTGTCTCTAACAATCATCTTTCTCTATTAATGATATTAATTCGTGATATACTTTTAGAAGTTTATCGTATAGATGCTAGTACAATGGTCACTATCCTTGCCTGCTGAACAGGAAATTGAAACTCAGATACATATCTGGAAGGTTAATAGCATTGATCTGCTATAACGTGGTGTGTTAGTCATTGATCTGGCATTGTAAATAACCAGGGTTCTATCCCCTGTGGAGGCAAAATTCAAAATCGATTGGTTATAGCTAGTTTAAGAAGTAAAAGGGGCTGTAAGCATTGCGGACTGCATTACTGCAATAGTACTGCTGGAAACGAAATTTTGAAGATAAGATCTTATGTAGGCTGATAGAATGTTGCGAGAGTGATTAATAAGTCTATCATTGAATATGGATTAATCTAGAGCAATTAATCTAGAACATTTCTCTGCTTGAGAATCCAGTTTTGTATTTTTGTAAGGAAATTATGTCCGTTTATAAATATGAATATATATTTTTATATTGTATTATATTCTAATAAACAATAAAACTATAGATAATCACAAATTAATTTACCTCTCCGAATATATTGATATTCTTTTGTTGGATCGTAAAACTCCTGTTCTTCTAAAGATATCACAATATATTCACCTCGGTCTAAGAGACCACTCACTTGCATGAATCGTACCAAGTCCACTAGAACATATGTGTCAGCCACTACTACATAAACTAAAAATAAAAGTGAATATTTTTATATAGATTTAAAACTAGTTCTCTTGCTACTTTCAATATTACAAATTTAAAAGATTTAAACGAATGTTTTACATCATCATTGAAACAATGCAAGGGGAGGGGCATTGTTTACATAAATTCCATCTTTATACTAAAAATTATATTTTAGAATGAAATTAGATTAAAAAGGAGAAATGATAGGGAAAAATGTGGCATTTTAAACAGTGTACTTTTTAAAGAGTTGTTTTGATTGTTGGGAATTTAAATATAAAGAGAAGCCCAAAAATTTAAAATGCAGCTTTCATTTTTTTTAAAAAAAAGATAAGGAAACCGTCCGTCTTGAAAATAATCTACAGTTCTAAAAAGAAAATATATAGAATTGTGCAGTTTGTGCGAAAACATTGAAAATCATTCTCGGCAAATTTCACAATTAGTTACAAACTTCATCTACAAATTAAACTGCTTACCCACAGTTACTAGAAATAAACAATAAAACCAATGTTTTCTCAACGGATCAAATTATTGCAACTGAAATATTTGCGCCGACATCTGTTAATTTTGTAACCCAGATTGTGCCATCATTGTTGCTGCAAATAGAGTTTTTTTCTGAAATCATTGTCATTAGTTTTCGCAATCAACAGCACCAACTGTTGACAAAATTTGTAAGTTTTTAAAATTTGAGAGGAATAAATAACTTGTTTTTTGAGAAGGCAGTAAAAAGTACTTTCCTATTTTCTTCATTTTTCTTTAACTTAATTAACAAAACCCCCACAGTTTTGATACAGTGTATAAACGCTCTTTTGTTTCCCACAAAAATTTAAAATTTAAAATATAGAAAAAGTGAGATCAGGTAGACCTAAAGTAAGCCCTGATAATTCAAATACTGAAAATAATTTTCAAAACACATAAAAACAAACAAATTATGGCAGAATTACGCAGTGAGGAAATAATCCAACAATAATTTGTCTGCATTTTGTTCAACATTTAAAACTTCAGAGTTTGCTCTAAACTTACCCGAACTCTACTTTCTCTATTATTTTACTTGTTTGTTTATTTCGTTTTCGTGTGTGTAATGCAACAGACTGTTTCGAAACGTCTTCTGGTTCCCTTTTTTTCATTTTTGTCTTGTTTACATCCAATTAAATAGTATTGAACTTGATGTGTCATACCAAGGGCAGTGACATATTTTTTTCGATGCTTTTGTTTATTTTATTTTATTTTAAAGAAAAAATTCAACCAGGTCAGTAGAACTGTTAGTAGAAGTTCAAGAAGTTTTAAGAAATTTTATAGCTAAACAGTACTAGTTTTTTTTCAAGCATTTGACAATGCTATATGGACAAGCAATATATTTTATCACGTGTATTTATTTACTCTAAATAGTATGAGATGTTGTTGTTGTTGACGTATTCCTGTTTAAGCAGTGCGATTGTTCTTGTCTTCCAGTGGTGCCATCTATGGCCAAGAATTCGACTCTGCCACACCATATGCCACACTCGTTTGTAGGGCGGACCCATTCATACATCCATTTATTCATCCACAGATTGTGATTTTGACCTGAATCAGAGAATGATCGATCTCCAATCCAGTATCCCCAGAGGTTTTGATTTGTTATAGGAACATGGAGGACTTTTGCGACTCGACAGATTTAACGTGCATCAGTCACTTTACCACAGTATGAGATTGAAGCCAAATCAATAGAATTAATAATTTTTATTTTTTAAGAGTCAAATGATTGAGATCAAGATTGCAGCTCAACTCAGAAGAACGTGCTAGTTTTATATGTTCATATTGGGTCAAAATCACATTTTTTAAAACAATTTGCAGCATTCACATAAGTATTTCTGTATTCAATTACTCAGGTACGGGTCTCAGAGTTTAGAGCCGTATTATATTTTAAAAAAATAATTACAAATCATAGGTCTGTATGATTTTTTTCATGCTATAATTAAAGCTTCTTTCACAACAAATTCTATATTTGTCAAGTTTCGGCGAATGCAGTTAATAACCCTGAAAGCCGTCCTACTTTAAGATCAAATTTTACGTCACGCCAAATATATACTTCGCTTATGTTTTTTTAAGTAATACTCATTAGTCAACTCAATAACATTCACAGATTTACCTTTGTAGTAGACTGTTAGTACTAGTAGATTTTCACCATGAAGGCCTTGAAAAATAGTCTACAATGAACTTTTATCTATACAAAATGGCACAAAAGCCCTCTGAGAGTATTTGTATCATAATTGTTAGTGTAAACGTAGTAGAATATAAAATAACAGTCAATGTCGAAAACCACCAATTTCACAAAAGTATTGCCACTTGTATATCGATTTGTTTCTTTCAAAATTCAATCTTCAGTTTTAGTCAAAAATCCTCAGTTTTAATCCTCGCCAAAAAAATTCAGAAAAAAAAACTTTTTTTTTTTCGTAAGAAAAAACATGTATAATAAATAATGCCAAGAAACTGAAGTGGTAGGGTGTTCCTTGACTTAAACTTTATTCGAATCAAAAATATATAAATAGGAAACAACGGTCATTTCTTATATATTGTGCAAGTAATGCATGTCTATTAGTTTTACATAAAGAAAATATCCTAACAATTTGAAGAAAAATAAACATTTTAACTATCCAAACCTACCTTATCTCCCTAATTAAAAGCAAACAAACTGGCAATTAGATATCAGAATGGAAACAAACTTGGAATTGGATAACTTGATTTGCAAATGCCATAGAAGAGAATTTAATAAGAAAGTTAATGTTTAATGTAAATGCTTTTATGTAAATGTTTTGTATAATTTGTTTGCATGTATCTGTACTGTTAATAAAACTATTAAAAAAAATGGAAAAGACTGTAACTGAGAGTTGTAATAGAACATCCAACCGTAATACGGACTAATTACACATCAGGAAAATATATTAATTTCATTATTCTTCGTAAAATAGTAAAAAAGAATTATAATTATACTTGATAATATTCTTCTAAATCTAAGTTTGCAACTGTTTATAATTTTTCGCCAGTCCCATCGGCACCTATACTGCCAAATGTAACTGCATTTAAGTATTTAACTTGTCCAAGAGTTTTTAATATTTTTGCTCATTTCCATTTTCTACTTCGAGAAAAGTAAAAGATAAAATATTTGTATACAATTTTTTTCTTATTAAGAGTCAAAAGCTTTTCTGTTTCTGCATATTTACTTCAAGAAATATGGAATGTAAAAGCATTTCGAACATTTTTTTCCCCACATCGAATTCAATTTTTCTTATGTATGACGATAAATTGTTATGAAACAAAAGAGAAAAGCGTGTTGCTCTGTTGAAAGAAAAGAACGCAAACAACAGAACGATTTCAATGAAAATGTTAAAAGCAAAAACTTTGGAAAATGTTTGTAAAAATTTTATTTGTTTATTTTAATGCTCTTTTTGTTTTGGGGTACAAAGTTTGAATAAAAATATCATATATAATAAAAAAATATCTGCTTTAGAATTTCTGAACAAAAGAAAAAGATATTTGAATGTCCTAACTTTTTCCTTTTTGAAAATTTGAAGATACTTTACTAAATGGGTTTTCTCTAGAAATTGAAGTTTTTAAATCAAAGTCACTGTAGTGAAAATTATTTTGAGTTTTCAATCTCCCAAATGAGGGAATTTCGAAAAATATTACTTCGGAAAGGTGGCTTCAAAAGCTTTTTCAATTGCTTTAATATTTTAATAATTTAAGTATAAATAAATTCTTGAAATGTCACCAACTAAATATAGAGCACCCACACAAACCATACGACGGTAGAATCTTTTCAGATTTTTATTTATTGCACATGATGATTGCTCATGAGCAATTTACTTGATTGCAGTCTGTGGTGGTCATTTTCCCAATCTGTCCTCGCAATCTGAATTAAAGTTGCCCACTACTGTCCTCAGGTCATCACTAAGGATGAATCGCAGACCACCATCTATAGTTCATATGTGGAGGTTCGTATGACACGAAAATTATATCATATGTCCTGCACAATATTATTTTTAAAATAAAATGTCACAACAAACATAGAAAAATGTAAAATAAAATAAATATTACCTCTTGTTTTTTTGTATGTTTTCCTTACGATTTGCTTCAGGGTGGTGTTGTCTTTCGTAAGGTAATCAGCAGGCAAGAAACACGTTTCGACTATATGTATAGCATGGTGATCTGCAAGTCTGTTCAAAGCTTCTGAAACTTGCCTGTTAGATGTGTTGTTGGCCACAAGTAGCATGATGCGATTCCATTTGTAATACTTAAGTAATGAAATCAGTGACTTTGATACTTTTGTACTAGGTGGCAGTGTACGGGCAAATGTGGTATAGATTTCTTTCTTAGATACTTTGCTGTCTGAACATTTCTGCAAAAAAGTAAACCAATGGCAAGTTGAGAAAAAGGGAAAGATCTCAGAATAAATATTACATTATATTCTAGTACATAATCTCATTTGGGAAAATAATGATGTAGGGAATTTCACGTAATAACGTTTAATCTACTATAACGGAGCTTGATTTTACAAATATCATTCAGTGTATTATTACTTTTATGATTGATGGTTGATTACGCTGTTAAATAGGATAATGTTTAATAAGATGTAGAGAATTAAGTTGAATTACTTTCTTTTTCAGGTTCCTAAAAATGACAAATACTGCTATACCGTCAATTGTTGTTCATTTTTGTTTTTAAAATTTAATAGCGTAAATAGCACTTATGTAGTTTTAGCTCTGTGTGTGGCGTTTTAAGTATGAAACAATTTGCAAGTTTTCATATTGAAGAACCACAAATTTTTTTTATCACATTTAATTAATCAGAAACTATAAATGCAACAAAAAATTCCTATATGTAGAAATAGAAGTATTAGTTAGATATGTGCTGTAACATTTTCAAGAGCATTGTACTGAAATTAAAGTAGTCGTTGTGAATATGAAAACGCTGAGTTAAGTAAGGATCATTTGAACGTGAAGAAGGATGGCATTAATACAGAGCGTCCGAAAAATAGTCGCCAATTTAAAAAAAAAATTAACTGAAGTAAAACGTAAAAGGAAAAATATAATGCTTGCAGTGCTCAAACTTTAGTTCTCTGCAGGTTTTAAAAACATTTTACAAAGTTTATCAACAGACGCCGCCGCTGACTGGCCAAAGTTTTCTACTGCCTGTTGCACCATATTTGCACCAGCATCTGTTTATTTTGTTCTTAATCTGATAGTTACTGCGAATGGAAATTATCAGTTAGTAATGCCATCTGTTGACGAACGTTATAACTAATATTGAACTTTAGCGCGAAGGAATTTCTGGTTTCCAAAACAAAGCGAAAGATACTGTACAGTATCTCCACTTGATTTTCATTATACAGATCTTCAAATCATTCGGACAATCGATATCTGAGCTTGTTTTATCGATATACGTATTGAAGCAAAAGTTTCTTAATCTTTCGCATTTATATAAATTTTATCTTATTCTTAGAGGAACACAAAACAAAATATACTATTTTGAAACTTACAAGAAGTATATCCTCTTAAAAAGAAACTTAAAAGTTTTTTTAAATCTTTTGGTAGATGCTTTGAGAATATACTCTTCATATACTCTTCATTATCCATAAAAAATTCGCGGGAAACCAAAGTGAATTACTAATTATTAATAGTGAATTACTAATGTATTTTTATTAATATAATGTCGAAAGTATAAAACTAAAATCTACTGTACAACTAGAATCTGTTTAAAATATTCATTAAAGATTATTTTTAGTTTGAAAAGTCTCTGACTACAGACAGTGATTATGTCGAAACAATCTGTTGCTTTTGAGCAATTCTTATAATGAGGACAAAAAAAAATTGACTAATGTTCTTAAGACTTCCTTTGACTAATTCCTAAGACAAATATAATGATGCTTGGGACTTTTATATTTTCATCATTAAATTTTGTTTAACGGAATACAAATGTGACTAACTGTTATTGTAACATTTATCTTGATCTTCATATTAATGATTTGAAAAAAAAAATATTTTAAGAACATCTAAAAATTCGTACGATATGAAGTTATGAAAGCGTGACTCTATTAATGACTCCGCAATGTTTTAAAAATGTCTGCAGCTTGTCACATTTAAAAAGAGAAAAATATTTTAAACGAAATTTCATAAAAGGATAACAGCTCAGAATTTTCATTTCTTGTCATTGTTGAAATTGAAATTTAGATAAGTATTTAATAATGATGGATTGAAAATTTGAAATAAGTTTATGATAAAAATTTAAAAAGTAATTATTTATAGAAACGTCGTAATAATTAAACAGGTCATAAAAAAATTTGTAAAAATTGAAAACGCTCATATATACCACCTTCGGGAAGATAAAATATAAATTTAAAGCCAACAATTTGAATAAAATTTTAGTGAAATACATAAATTTAGAATAAACTGAACAGACCATTGTTTTCCAAAAATCCCATAATTAAGTAAAAAAACAATTTAAAGATTGGTGCTTATTGGACAAGAAACAATAAAATTTTTAGCGGAAGTTTACATATCTGTAAGTTACTTTACCTGTATGAGTGTGTTTGTATCTTATTCAAACGAAGAACATTTCACATTTGAATTCTCCGGATTTATAAAGCTGGTAAGTGTTATGATTTGTATAATAAAAAAATTACTTTAAATAGTTCTTTTTTCTTATTTGATGATAGTTATCTACAGAATAGTTTTCTACGTCTGATTACAAGAACTTTAAAACTAGGAAAAAAGCAATATGAAATTTTTTTATTTCAATATGAAGCATTTTTAAAGCTATTTTTTTAAATTATAAGCATTTTCTATTTTATGCATTTTAGTTAATAAATAAGGATTTTTTGTTAAAACTTAAACTTTTTTGATAAAAATTGCTGTTTAAAAACTTTTCTACAAAATTAAATGATATAACATTATGTGTTTCTGTATACGTTTTACATAATTTGATGTTTGAAGTAATATGATTTAGAAAAGTATGGAATGTAAAATTTAAATACACATTTTATATTAGATCTTTAAATGTAGTAGAATGATTTTAACTATAGTGCGAGTGCGTTTTACGTATAGTGCAAGTACTCTAGTACAAAGATAAAATACATATTTTTTCTCTGTTTATTTAGAAATATTTTTCCAAAGTTTCTTGGATGTTCCTTCTCTAAAATAATGTTTTTGCTTGCTTAAGGAATAATATCAAACATTTTTCATTTTTAAATTTAATAAGCCACAATAAAGAAGGAGCGTTGCCATGCTATTCTAAAGAAATCTCCAGTGCAACAGTGTTGTTCTGCTAGCAGTCATTCGTCTCAAATAACACCTCTTATAGGTCATTGCGTTCGCGAATCATAAATAAATTCAACGTAAATAATTTCTCGACATTTGGTAATGACGTCACTGAATTTGCATTTATTTTAAAAATATGCGAAACCACCTGTTTCTTAGATTTATACTTACGCTTTTAAAGAACACTTCTATAAACTTAATTAGGGCGAATTCAATAACTACTAATGGAATAAAATTAGTATCACTAATTATGTTACTATTAAACCATGGAAATTTTATTGTAAAATCTGAATATCGTATTTTACATGACACTATATGTGCAGTTAATCTTTCTTCTAGAGAGTTGAGCTTCCAATTCAGATTATGGTAAATATGATAATAAAGTCACATAAGAATATACAAAAAAATAAAATTCAAAATGTTCTTGTATTAGGTGCCATGAATGTGTTGCATGATGATAGTAGGGTACTTATCTTTTTTGGAGGGCAGTTAAACACATATTACCACAGTAGCTATATTTCGCACCTATATCGATATAATAGTATTTTGAATTTATAAATTGTGTATTGATAATGATACATTTAATTTTGATCCTTTTTCACTACCAAAACACATATATCCTACAGAGAACACATATATCCAAATGAAGAAAAACAATCGTGAAAAGATTTTATTTCTATCCGCAATAAATGTTTCGCTTAAAAATATATTGTTGAAATGTTTTTAATCAACTGCTTAAGGCCTGGTTTCTTAAGGCCTGGTTTCTTAGAACAGGACGCCGTCAGCTGGAAATCAGCGCTAACCTCTGATTGGTCCATTTGTGAGTTTGATAGTATACGTCATCGAACGCTCATCTTGAACTACAATTGCCGTCCAACTCAACTGCAGTTGGATTACAACGTGACGTTAACCACAGAAGCAATGGCGGACAACATCCAACAGCACATTGAAATCAGCCAAGATTTTGATTTTGACATTAAACATAGCTTCTTCATTAAACATAGCACTCTTCATTTAGCTCAGCTATAATGTGTTTTTTCTTGGACAAAGTCATTATTTGTTCTCTAAAACACTGGTCGACAATAACAAAATCAATACAAATTCAAAATAAATATTTGTTTACGTTATTAACGCATGCGCGATGAGAGATAATGTCTGCGTAGGACCGACTGCTCACGCTGAGCTAACAAAAAAGTATTTTTTTGGCGTCAGCTCTACGTCAACTTTCCGCTGACGCCCAGATAAGGCGCTAGTTCTAAGAAACCAGGCCTTCAGCTAACAAACCAGTATTTTGTTGGCGTCAGCGGAACGTTGACGTCCCGCTGACGCTCAGATAAGGCGCTTGTCCTAAGAAACCAGACCTTTAGAAGCATCTAATATTTATTAAAATATAATTCTTTAAAACTGAATGTTATTTATACTTTTCTTGGTGCAAAACGACTATGATGGAATTGTTAAATGTAAAATTAATGTGCTATCAATGTGCAATTAACTGCAATTATTTTTTGTAAGATACATTGAATTTGACTCAACTAAGAATATTTTTTAAAAATATTATTTAAAGTTTAGAAGTTGTTTTGAAAACAATACTTACTTTAAAACAAATCAACGAAACGGACAATAAATGCATCAATAAATGTATTAAAATATAGTTAAATGTTTACACCAAATAATAATTGATGCATTAATGCTCTACCTCTAAAGTAAAGCATTAAGTGTAAGGTCGATAATTCCCTTAGAATAAGTAATTACAGCCCATACATCAAAATATATGATAAATGACTGAAATTAGTCTTAAGGTCATTGCTCCTGTTATCCTTCCAACACTATTAACCACGATTTCTACTTCAAGAGAATGTTCTCTTCTCGCCTTTCTTAGAACCACTTCATGAGCTTTATTATGAGCCCCAAGGTAAAGAGTTGTTGCCAACTTCGATTAAGAAATACTTTTAGCGCCACTTTCTCTCGCTTGCTAATTATCGGACAAATGTCCAAATACATTAACACAAATACTATTAAATCATGCCTCTACGTTCTGCTTGGCATGGAATGTCGGCTTTAAGTAAAAATTATATTTGACGGA